AATTGATTATGCCCATTGGCAATTAAGAAGTTTTTAATATTATCTTTTTTATAGTGTTTTACTAAACATATAAATCAGAATGAAATATTTAAATAATATTAAAATAAAATAACTAATTTACGAGTTGAAAATTCTTTACTAATAAAACGTATATAGTATTATTAATTATATAGATTTATTCTAATTTTGATCAAAATCATAGTCAATTTTAATAATATTTTTTGATAAACAGTGGAAAAAGATAATTAAAAATAGTGAAAAATTGAATGTAACATTTTTATTATGAAATGCTAAAAACGAAGAAACCGTATTTTTACAAAATTCCGATACTAAAATTAATATACGAAAAAATTTCTTCAAGTGACGCTGGCCCTGGTATTCAATCTCACCGCTACAATTGACCTAAAACAAAAAAACCAAACTGTTTATATTCAGTATGTCAAAAACTAAAGGAATGCAACTATCTAGAAATATTTACTAATATATGTTATGAATATTTAAATGAAAATCAAATTTTTTAACACATTAAAATATTTTAAAATCAGTATAAAATATCAGTTATTTATCAAAATATTATGATTACAAATGTTTTTTCGTTACTTAATCATAAAATTACTAGTCCAAAAATATATATTAATGTAGAACGATTTTTCTCTTCTTAAGATAGATACTATAAATATTCTAATTTTTTTTAATTTTTAATTAGTTTTCTCTGATATGACTATGATTTTGATCGGATTAAAATATTTGTGATAATTGTATTTAAGCTAAAAGAAAATATTAAAAAGGGGATTAAGGATTTAATAAGGGCTTATATATTATAAAATAAAGTATTTTGTCTTTTGTTACAATGTTTGATGAAATAATTAATATCAATTTTGAATAAAATTATTTAATTAAAACCAATAAAATAATGTACTTTAGAATTCTCATGAAAACAAAAAGTAAAGCTATATTTCCAACTTATTATTGAATTATAATTAATATTTAGTTTGTATTTTCATACATTCATGATTCTAATTAAAATTATTAAATTCAATATTATTTAATGCTATTATTATAGAATTGTATTGAATAACATTTAAGGATATTTAAAGACTAAATTTTGATTCAACATATAATGTCATTATTATATATAATTCATACTTTAAGGTTTTTGTTTGATAATGAAATCGATGTTCAGTTGAACATTCATGCGCCAATGAGTAAACAATAACATATAATTATTTTTTATATTCAAAAATTATGTAACGATGAACATTAACATACTGAAATACCTTATCAATAATTAATTAATATATTTGAATTTTATTATTCAATATTTATTCTTTAATTAAATGAATAGCATATTAATAGGATGAGAATAGTTTTTAAAATTTATTATTATTAAAGATTTTACATTTAATATTCACGATGTAAATATTATTACATATATTTTTAATCTATACATAACTTATACTTTTATTTTTTATTAAATAGTGTTAGAAAATATTGTATATTATTTGATTATGAGATTTCTAATACTACGTATTTTTATATTAATTTTTTTAAATAAAAATTAATAAAAATTATAATAATATATTATATTTATGTTTTACTAATTTAAAACAACAAATTCGAAAGTAATAAAATGTCATTCCATCTCGCATATATATTTCAAATTCTATGACAGTATGTCACAAATATATATATATTGATCTATATAAACTCTTTAAATATATACGTAAACATGTTATATATATATATATATATATATATATATATATATATGTATATAATGAAATCTTCTCTATAGCTTATTATAAAGTTATATATTTTGAGTCCCCTCAAATATAATTCTCTGAAATTATATTAATTATAAATGACTTATTTATTACAACAAACAATTAAGATAATTAAATTTATAATTAAAGCGAGAAAAATTCTATTGTCGTTCTATTAAAAAAAAAATTTTAAGTTATTTCTTGATTTGAAATTTTTATTTAAAACTACAAATACACATTTTTTAATTACTTTAAAAATTCCAATTTGTTGTAAAGAACTATTTTAAAAATAATTAATAATTATTATATATAGATACGGATATAGAATTGATTAGAGTACTCGCTAATTAATGAAATTTCCAATTTTAATTCTTCAACAAAAATATACTATTTATAATCTGTTTAAATAAATGTACTTTTAATAAATTCTTATTATATTTGCAATTCAATTAATTTACTGATCTTATATATATAGAATATATATTATATAACTGTATTATATATTTTAGAATATTATTTGTAGAATTAGTAAATAAATTAATTAGAAAATAGAAAGGAATTTAAGTTTATGATTTTTTTTAATGTAATAAGAAATATGCAATTTTATATACGTATTCTTTATATTTTTTTCGATTAGTTTGGAACTTTTTGTTCAAAATGTTAATACTATGGCTCTACGAAGTGAAATACTTTATCTGTCACCTATTTCTAAATGCATGTTTTTCACTTACTGTATAGAAAATAATTTCTAATATAAATAATAAAATAAGATTTGAGTAACAATGCCAACAAACTTTTTCTATGTATGGTATATTTAGCAATGCAATACAGTTTAAAAAACTAAATTTTTTAATAATTAGCTCATATTATGAAAACTTCTATTAATTAACAAATTTTATTGTACATAAATTGTTCATTGAAAATTTCAAATGACAAATTTAATTTTCTTTATTAAATTTAATTAAAAATATTATGTTAAAAAAATACTTTTCAAATTTTGTAATTAATAGGTTACTATTACATAATTTAAGATATGAAATAATTCTTTTTGAATTTACAAACCCATCTTCTTAATATATGTATTCAATATAATAAAAAAACATTTTTCTATCTATTTATGTATATATATATATTTGTATGCGTGCGTGCGTGCGTGCGTTTGTGTGTGTGTGCAGACGTGCATGGGTGTACATAATAGATATCATTTTGTCACATAAGTGCATTACAATTATAATATAATATGAATATAAACATGTTAAAAAAATCAGTAAATAAATTTGTACATATAATTTAAATTGTATTTATCGTTGAATTATTTTGACCTATATGTAAAATTCTTACGTAATTATGTTCTATAATAATTTTAAATTGGTTTAAGACAATAAATATTATATAATTTTATTTTAGACAATATATAGATTATATTATATAGAATAGAAAATAATAATGTAGAAAGTTCTATTTTGATCACTGCAATTATAATGTCAATAAATTTCAACAAATTTAGAATATGTATACAGTTCATAAATCAATCTGCTATATTAAAAGAATAATATGGTAGTTAATTAAATAGAATAATTAATTTCAATTAAAGTACATATATATATATTCTATATATCGTCTGTAAATCTTAATCACAAAGCTATTAATATATGGCCACTAATATAAAAGTATTATAAAAGAATTATTTAAATAATTAAATTTTATATTTTTGTAATTTTTTTTATTATATATGCATGAACATTTTGTTTATGAAAGTTGCATAAAAATTATAAAGCTAAATATGAAAAAATTAACCAACAATTGTAAAAAAATTACAATATTACAGAACAACTATGTTATTGAAAACATCTGTAAAATAGTCTTTGAATTGACAGATTTCATTCGTACAGAATTCGGTTAAATTTTGTGCATAATAAAAAATGATCATGTGTATATAAAAATTTAATATTTTTAAATGAATGTAATTTTAAGCAAAATTTATTTTTAAAAATCCAGGACAAAATGTTTAGAATTATAATTGTAATTTTCCAGACCATATTATTGAAAATATTTAATAAAATTGACGACATAATTTTTTTTTTCACAATATAAATGATTGCAGCAGAGTTGAATAAATATTGATTATACTAATTGATTTTGAGAAATAAGTATTATCATATACTCACTGTAATATAAATATATCGCACCCTATTCGAGAATAGAAATATTTATGGAATAAATTATATGTATAGGAAGAGATCCAAATATATATTTTATATATATATATATATATTAATCTTACAAAACGTATGTTAAGAAGTAGCAGCTTAAAGGATAATTAGTACATAGATGTATAATTCTTTTAAAACTTCGTTATAAATTGAATTTGTTAAAAAGTCATAAATATAATAATAAAACTTTTATACATATCCACTTATATATACTATTAATAAAATATAAAATTTGATATTTTTCTGTTTATGAAGGATATGTTGAAATTTAAACAAGCGCTCTACTTATACAAATTTAAAAATTTATAATAGTTATACATATTAAATTAAATATAGAGTTTGAGAAGACAATAAAGTATGTAAATAATAATTGGAATTCAATAACTTTTGTTATTTTTCTGACAATGAAAACACAAATATTTTTATGTAACTTGAAATAAAATTAAAAAATTTTATAGATATAAAATCTGAATATAAAAAAAAATGTATATGTATGTATATATATATATATATTATTCCCTATATATATGTATGCAAGTTTGAATGGATGTGTATTTATTGTGTGATATAAAATATTGTATATTTTTCTATCGAAACTATTGAATTAAAATGGAGTTTGCAAACCATATAAGTAATTGTCTAATAATTACCTCTTTATATATTATATTATGTGATCAATCAATGTTCATAAATTTAATTTTGGAAGAAAAACTAAGTTGAATATTAATAGACGATTCATAAATGAACGTAACGGAGACTTAACTAATTTATTATTTAAATTCCTTGTAATTAAGCTAAGGTATCATGATCTACGTGCCGAGAAACTAAAATTCAATTACCGACCAGCCTCGCCATCTACGTCGTTCCAGGAAATTAACGTCTGGCCAGAGGTTCTCCCAACTGCGAGCTACAAATAGTAGCACCGCGCCATCCTCGGTCGCGATTGCCTGGGCGTACCTCAGTTGTTCCCTTACTACTTAGAGGCCCGCGCGGAGAAGTAGTACAGACCAGCGTGCGTACATACCGAAAGGAGGAGCAGCGATGACGCCAACAGCATCCGGCCAGCAGTCATTGTCTTCTGTCTCTCTCTCATTTTCTCAATGCCAGTACGAACCTCACTGGCGATCTTTTTAAGGCTTCACACACTCTGCCCGTATAGATGATCGCACGCACGTACACGCGTAAAGACGATAACTCTCTCCCTAATCTTTTATTTACACGTATATGATCGAATGCAAAATTCAAACTCAGTAACATAAGTGTATGTAAATATATACAGAAGAACATACGTATTCATACATACACGTTTAAAGTACGTAGCATAAGAAAAAACGAGCGAGGAAAAAGTTTTCGAAGTTCTTACAATATAGAAAGTGTAATTGGCCATCGTTGGCTGTTCGTGTTGATCGAATTCGGCATGGTTGACGCGTATCAGCGCACGTTTCTCCTAAGTGCTCGATAAGATTTCATTATTAATTACGTCGAGGGTAGAATAGACAGAGAAAAATCGGAAAAAGAAAAAGAAAGTCAAATTAAATGAGAGGAATGTGCGCTTCGAAGGGTAGAAAATACGAATTTAGCGAATTTGAAAGATACTACATGAAAGAGAAAAGACGATTGACGTGAGATGAATCAGTTAGTATGAAAAGTTAAAACGTGATAGGAATATATGATTAGGGATTTATGTGAAATAAACGAGGTCTTAAGCATGAAAACAAATAAAACCGTTAATTTTTTTTATTGTTTATTTGTTTAATAAATTTAATGAATTTATGTCATAAATTTTGTGACTACTGATGGTTGTTAATATAAAATTATGCATCCTTAAAAATAATAATACATTTATTGATATATAAATTAAAGTTTAGATAAGTGTATACAATCAATTATTAAGATTTTTATGTTCAATTTCACTTAACTGATATTATGCATATACTTCGTCATTAAGTAAAATATAGAAGTACTCAGCTTTTTTATAATTAATTTGAAAGTAATTTTAAAACAAGGCCATTAAGTATCGTACAAGTGAAATAAATGGTACTATTGAAGATCCAGTTTGGTATAATTTTACGACTCACAATGTTTATGTATAATATAATTAAACTAGAACTTATTTAAAAGAACCAAATTAAATAAATATATTATATATTTAAAAATTTATAATTGATAGAAAATTTTAGTAAAAATAATAATTTTTCGATTAATACATTCAAGTAAAAACATAAAATTTGAAATAATCATTTATTTTTAAAGGTATTTTCAATAATACTTTAATAAAATAAAATTAAAATTGGAATTATTAATCTAAAACTTTTTTTTATCAATTGATTTTTAATCTAATTAAACACAAAAATATTTATAATATCATTGTAAAAAGATAAAAAGTTCTTTCTATAAATGATTTTAGTTAATTTATATTCATATTATATTTATTTCTAAGTAAATTTTTATTAATGCCTTAAACACATTTATGTTTATATTTAATATAATTTTAATTTTAATAAAGTTAAGAAATTTTTTATTCGATACAAATTTTGAATGGTAAAATTGAAGAAGAAAGACAGGTTCAGATCTCAAAATTATAGTGTATTGAATATATTGAAGTATGTTTAATAAAAATTAATTATTATTTAAAATTGAAGGCTATTAATAATAAATTGAAATAATTTTTATATTGAGATAATTTATTTACTTTATATTTAACCTTGAATAGGCGTATGTAGATTATGCAAATTTATAATTAACATATTAAAAAGTTATTTCAATAATTAAATTAAAATTTATTTAATTCTATATGGGTAAGGTTTAATATTTCTATTAATCATAACATTTTTTAATTATAAATTTATCGAAAAATAGTTCAAATAAAAGGTTTAAAAATATTAATTATATAAATAGATTATAAATATTTATTTTGTATATTCAGTTTCTAAATGAATAATGTATTCAAGTATTTGAAAATTAATTAATATTTGATAATTAATTAATAAGATATAAATTCCACGTTTCACTTGTTCACTGATATTATTTAAACCTTAAAAAATATTGGAGTAAAAAAGATTAAAATAATTTTTTTTTTACAAGATTCTGTTTGATTATTTCCATTATCATCAGCTTTCTGTTATTTTCAAAAACTATAACTGGCACATGGAGCTTTTATAATGGCGTTAGATAATTAGTTACTAAATATTTAATAGAAAAATTACTGTACGTCGGGATGATATTTTTTATTTCCAAAAATAATGTATTGAAAGAAAACTCGTGTATCTCTAAGCATCATATGCACTGATCAAATTAAGATTTCATCCGTTATTAAAAAAGTTTTATTTTCGTATGACTTATTTCATTGATATTGTCTTATCAATGTAAGTTATTACTATTTAATTTGCAATGCTCGAAATTTAATGTTTTGTGAGATATTCAATGAAAATGTTCATTCTACATAAATTTTGTACAATTGCATTTAGTAAAAGACTTAAAAATAACGTTGATTAAACATTATATATATATATATATAACTTTATGTATAATAGTTTCGTTAGACTATAAATAAATACTTGTAAAATTGCAGATATTTATTTGGGTATTATCATATACTTTACGAGAGATCAAAATTAATCAATACAATCTTATATATTCATTTCCACTCTTATAACATTAAAAAAATATTAGATTATTTTTTATTTTCTTGTTTTTCAGATATATTAGAAATTTGAGGTAATTCTTCATTTCATACAATTTTATCACAATTGGTAAGTTAAATATTTGTAATAATTTTGAATTTGGTTTATTTTTTCTTGAATATAGCATACATTATATATTTAATTTATACTATTAGTTTGAAATGATACAAAAATTATTATTCATCTAAATTTTGTAAATCATGTATAAAAATATTTAATTGTTTATATACTTTATGTATATTATTAGATCTATGTACAATATATTATATACTATATTTTTAATACATGCATATAATGTATATATTATTAACGTTTATTAATGAAAAAATGTTTATACTTATGTATACATTTTAACTGAAATGATCTTACCAGAATTAAAAGATATTTTCGAAAACTTTTAAAACAATACATCATAAAAATACAGAATTGCATTTTAAGAAATATGATTTTAACAAAATTGTTATTTATTTAATTTTAAATAAAATTTTATTGATTTCAAATTGATATTTAATCTAAACCATATCAACAACATATGTTATAATTATATAATTGTAATCTGTAATTGATTGCGATAAGTAGATATTACATTGTTATTTTTTATTTTATTTTTTATATTAATAGAATTATACTTTTTTGTAACAATATTCTTGCAATAATTACAATGATACTTTTCATAATTCTAAATTTTATATATATATATATATATATATATATATATATAATAACTAATTTACAATAATTAAGTTTATCGCTAATTTTAATTATAATAATAATAAATTACCTGATACTATTGCTAACCTATCATAATCGAATTAAATTTATACTATTTTACCGACAAAATGAAATAGAAAATAGTAATTATAAAGACTTTTATAAATTCAAAATGATTTTTAATTCTATACGTTAATTTTTAATAATCTGTATAATTTACATTTTTTAAATGTTTGTAAAACGAGCTCATATACGAAGAAATATCATGAATTATTATTTATTATTATGAATACAATGTCATGTTAAATTATAATTAGCATATACTTGATTTGTAATAAATAATAATTTACAAAACTTTAATGTAAATTTTACAAAAAAAATACTATAAATTTAACTTATTATTTTAGAATATGAAACATAAATTATAATAAAAATTGATGTTTCATAATTTTATGTGATAATTTTAGAGTTTTAGAAATTCTATAATAATTATTCAATAAGTAATTTGTTTGCATACTGAATAACTTTCAAGAAATTGTTTATTAATTTTCAATATAGATAGCAAAATAAGTAAAAAATGCATTACTAAAAATAATATATTAAGAAAATGTTTTCAAAAATGAAAATGTTATTTTCGTTTATGAAAATAAAATAAGCTAATTTTTAATTTGAAGAAAATATTAATATGTTGAAGGAAATCAAATAAATAAAATGCAGTACTACATTTTGAGCAAAGATATTTTCTATTATAGAAATCTATTTTCAAAGGAGAAAATATGATGTAGGATTAATAGATTTCCGTGTAAACGAATGACGTCTTTATGATATCTTCTAATTGAAACTTGTTCTTTGTTAGAGCGAATGGTTCAGCTGCTAAAATTTATTTGTTTGACATATACTATATTTAAATTCATACATATGTTACATTAAGAGCTTAATCAAATGAATTTAAATTTTTAAATATTATTTATATAAATAGTTTTTATAATAATATTATATTGCATTTATTATTATTAGTTGACAAATATAGAAAGTTTTCACACAATATTAGCATAAGGATAAAATCAACTTTCATTACCATCAAATTTAAACAAATAATTTTTATACTTAAAATACATTGAACTATTTTGTGACAATGTGATTGTATGCTTTATTATCACTCATACGTTAAAATTTAATATCACGATGTTTTATGAATGTGCTATAAAAACTGAAAATTGTCAAAGTAACAGGCAATAAATTTTTGAATACTAAAACTTTTAAATTCTATTATTATCGCCTATAAGGTTAAAGATATCTTGATTTTATGAAACTAAGACGAATTTATTATAATATTTTCATTATTAATTATAAATAGTAAAATTCAATTTATTTTTGCAATATGCATTTGAAAATCATTAAGCTTAATAGAATAAATTAGTATTTACTAAAATCATAATGAATCTCTAAATAATAATAGTATTAATAGTTATTAACAATTAGTATTAATAATTAGTATTAATAAAGTATTAATAATTAGTAAATAATAATACACAATCATTACTGCACAAAGCTAATAGTTTAGAATACAATTTAACATTATGTTTAGTATACTTACTTCATTGATATTATAATCCATTATTCTAATTATACAACTATTCGCGTCTAAAAAACATGTTTTTAATTCTTGATAGCTAAATATCTAAACAGTATGTCTGATACATTTGGTTATAAATAATATTTATATTTTCATATTCAGTGAATTAATATTTAGTATATATTGTAACTGAATGTATATTATAAATTGAAAAAAGGTTTCGTTATGTCATATT